AACACATCACTATTAAACCATAACCTTTCCAATTCTTGTCCCCAAGATATGATGTTAACATTATCACAACATAAGACAGTACAACCTTAAAAACCCCACAGTCCTTAAAAAATCCAAACACTTAAAAGTTCATAGTCTCTTTTAAAAGTCTCCTAACTGTGGGCTTCTGTAAAATCCAAAACAAGTACTGTCTTATTTCAAAGGGAAGAATAGGGCTCACCTAAGCAAAACCAAAGTCCAGCAAAGTATCTCCAGGCTGGACATCTCTCTGGGATTCACTCATGATCTTCTGGGCTCCAAAGGGTTCTGGCAGTTCCACTTCTGACTCTGCTGTCCACAGCACACACAGCTCATCTCACAGACCCAGGCCAGCTCCATTCCACACCTACTGCTGTCCTTGGTGATCGTCCCATGGTCCTGGCATCTCCAAAAAGCTGGGGTCTCCACTGAAACTGAGACTACACCTTCACCAATGGCCTCTTCTTGCCTCTTGGGGTGCAAAGGCCTCAGATTCTCTCCATGACCCTTCAATCCTGGGGTCTTAACTGCAACTGAAGCTGCACTTTCACCTATGGCCTTTCCTGGGCTCTCACAGTGCCAAGGCTCAGAGAGGCTCTCTGTGACCCCTTCATGCTTTCAACACCAGAACCATGCAGGAGACTCTTACACATTACCAAGTCCTGCTTCCAGCTTGAGATAGAGGCTTGGGTCCCCTCTCTGTGCTGACCCTGAGGAAATACCTCCCAGAAGATTTCACCTCAGTGATGCTGGTCTCTTGTTACTTACAGCTGATTTTTTAGCCCCAGCTAACCAGCATCAATTGTCCCAGTAAAGCAAAGGTTTTGCTTCAGGTTCTGGTCTCTTCTTAATCACAGTTGATTCTTCAGCCCCAGCTGACCAGAACCCAGATTCTCAATCCAAAACATCACAGGAACAGCCCTGATAGTCTCTGCTTCCCTTTGAAGCTTCACAAGCCAGGCCTCCATTGTCTACAACTCTTTCAGCATAACTGTTCCAAGCTCCACAGCAACAAACTCTGAGCACTCAATGGCTTTTCCAGCCCAAAGTTCCAAACACTTTCTCAGTCCTCCCAAAAACACCAAGGTCAAATCAATGGGCCCATGAACAAAGTAGCCATGGTGGCAGAGATGGAGGTTATGCATGGGCTCAGCAGCATGGACTCCCACTCATGAAAGCTGACCTGGCTACAGCTACTGCTGAGTGCCAGATCTGCCAACAGCAGAGACCAACACTGAGCCCCCGATATGGCATTGTTCCCCATGGTGACCAGCCTCCAACCTGGTGGCAGGTTGACTACATTGGATCACTTCCATCTTGGAGGGGACAGCGTT